AATTGATTTGATGATGAATATTGTTCTCCAAAAATAATTTACATACCATCATAGCATCAAATAATATTTTAAATAAACATATTGGTCAACAAATAATTTTGAGTTCTGTTTTACTTCCTTATAAAAATCAAATAAACTCATCATTCAACACCAAGAATTTAAAAATATTCTAGTTTATTCACTCCTTTATTTCACAATTTTTTCTATTTCTCTAATCTAATTATTTTTCTTCTTAAATTAATTTTTTATTTAATAATACTAATATTATTTCTAATCTGTTTCTAACTTTCATTAATTGATTATTCACTTTTTTCATCTATTGAGTTCATATCCAAATTATAAATAATTTTATCTCTCTCAAAAACTCTTTATATTTAATAGGTCATCTTCTACTTACTATCTTCTAGAAACTATCTTCTAAATTGGATTTCCAAAGATTATATATCTTTTTACTTCAAAATCTATATCAGTGTAAATACAACTTTAATAAGAAATTCAGCTTTGAGGATCTAAACATTCTACTATTTGAACCTTAAACTCTATCTGAACAATATAAAAATATTTGAATAGGAAATATTCTGTCTTTTATTTTAATTCAATATAGTAGAATTTAAATCTTTGTATTTTAATTTTATTCATTTTATTTAAATCATTTAATTTTAATTTCTCATCCCTTATAGCTAAAAACTTTTAAGGATCTATTCTAAATTGAGGTAAATTTACTTATGCAATTTATATATTAATAAACATTTCTACGTATTAAAAGTGATATAATTTTTTTCATATTCATTATGTTGTCATATTTTATTACCAAATAATTAAATATCAAATGACTTCACTATACAACTCAAGAATATCATCAGATATATTTTCTTCATTGGTAAATAATGTCGCTTATTTTCTACTTAAAATTTTTGCAAATTAATTTTTTCTAATTTATTATTATGTATTCTCTAATAAATGTATGTAAGATGATGTAGCTTAATGACTTGATTTTTCTACAAAGAAAGTTTAGAGTTTATTTGAATCCTATATTTTTTAACATTCTTTATTAAAGAATCTTCTCTTTGTAAATATAGATTAAATACAATATTCTTGAATTAAGGGGACTATGAAATGTAGATTAAGTATAAGGAGTATGTGTGGTTTTCTTTCTGATAATTTTGTTCTTAGTATTTCAGGATTAGTTATCATTTCTTAAATTAATTATTAACAAATCCTGTATGAACAAAAGTAGAAAAATATAAAGAGGATTTATAAATATAATTTTCAATGATAAAAGTCTTCTAATCACTTTCTTTGCTATCTGAGAAAAAGAGAGCTTTAAATTATATAGATTAAGCAGCCAAATGTACTAAAAATATAAATACTATATATTTAATTACTTTTATAATAAATTTGGCAAATGAAATAATGATATTAAAAAATTCAATTGTTAACATAATCCTAATTTCAAATACTATGTCACTTAATTCATAATAATTAAATAGGATTTTATGAATATTTGAAATAATTCTCTTAAATTGTACGATTTTCCAAAAAGCTGTATGTCTTCTTAAACCTTTAGATAAAGTGCATTTTGTGATAACTTAAGTCCATTCTAATTTATAAGAATTGAACACATGTAGATCCTATAAAGTTATGCTTCAGAATGTCAATCAAACAAATAAAAATTTTCCTTACATCTACTATAATTATTTAGTTACCTTGGTCATAGGATATGCATTTCTAACTGCTAGTATTGTTCCACTAGAACTTGGTTATATCCATCTATTTTGTTAAATATCATATCTTTCTATCTCATTCTAAAAATTCTAACCATCATAACAACCAAATAAGTAGAATTACATAGAAAGTAAATTTAAAGAATAACAAGCTCTTGCATTAGGTATCTAACCTTGTGGATGCATTTTTTATAATAATTATATTCAAGTCTCTATTCTACTAATTAACTTATCCATGTTATCCATTCGCTTCCAAATAATAAAGATCAACTGGTCATGTACTTCCATTATGATCTCCATGAATATATAATTTGTTTTGATATACTTTTATTGTATGATTATTTCTTTATGATTCTCCATTTTTTTTTAATTCTGTATATTAATTTGAATTCAGATCATAAATATGAATTTCAGCATTTTAAAAATATGATTTACAAATCTGTTCAAGTAAATGAATATTATGATACAATTTCTTATTACTTCCAGTTAAATTGATTTGTTGGTTATAAATTAATTTTTCACAAATTTAACTACTCCTCTCATATTATAATAATCTCCTTCCTAAATTAATTGATTTTAAAATTGACATCCTTGTATACATTTTTTATAGATTTAAAAACAGAAATCTGAAAGATTAGAAACATCTATCCTCAAAGTTTACTTTCAGAAGGACAAGTTTTATAATAATTATTGTAGTTGCTATATTTAAAAGAAAACAAAACCACTAAAAGACTTTGATGGATTCTTATTCTAAATTAAAGTGCTTCAGTCTAAGTTGACTTCTTTTTTATTTCTTAACAACACAACATAAATTCAATTCGATAAATTCTTCATCAGAGTAAGTGTATGATAAATTAATTTCTTTTTTTATCAAACAGTAACTCTTCTTTTTTTTCTTATCTAACAATTTATCAATCAATCAAATATTTCTTAAATTATCTTATCACACATAAGAAGATAAACAAAGTTTTCTTCCTATTAATTCATTTCTTTAGATCAATTATGAAGAATTTCAATTACAATCTTTAGCAAACAGAGAGAATAATAATCTCTATGCTTTGATGCTCAGCTAAAAAAAATCTGATAATTGATTCTAAAATTACTATTATTAACTTCCAGAAATTAACACATTATCAAATATAAATGATTTACACTTAAATTAAAATGTATAAAAAATCAGAAAATAAGCAAATGCTCAGGTGTAAAAAAATTATTTAATAATATATTTATACACATAATCTTAGAAATCTGAAAATTAATGCTTCACTTATAAATATTAGTTGTTTACTTACACTATTCTAATGATAGCAGCATAAATAATAATATGATTCATTTTGTTTTTTCTAAATTACTTAAAGCCAATTTCGTTTATCAAGTTTAGGAAACATAAATTTTCGTTATAAAAAATAAAATCATATTTATTTGATATCTATGGTCAACATAATAATCACTATTAAAATAATTCATTAAGAAATTCAAAATGTATCCCAAGAGAAACTGAACAGTTAAAATTGTTAATTTTAATCTGCAATCCATTAAGTGTAAATAATAAAAGTTGTTATTTTTTTATAATCCTAATAATATAAATTAAAATTTTAATAATATTATTTTCTTTATTCAAAATATGTTCCTTAAGCAAAGTATTTCATCTAAGATCTATGAAAAATTTCGGATTATCATCTAATTATATTTTTATACTTTATTCAAATTCCATAAAAATGATCAGTTTGTGGCTTAATATTTTATTGAGTTCTCTATAGATTATTATTTACTTAACATATCGTTGCTTAAATGTTGTTAATTTTGTCAAATAATGAATAAAATTAAAAATTGTATAGAAAATTATTTCGATTGTTAATCATAATATTTATTAATTTTTTGAGTAAGCGAACATAATTATAAAAAATTAGATAATCTAACCAGACAATAATTTTAATTGGTAGCTTATGAAAGCGATTTCAATTATAGTTCAAGCAAAGTAGTTACTTTTGCATTAATTGCAATGTCTAATTATTCAATAAAATAAGCTATTTTCCTCATAATTTTTTCGGGATATTCAATATTTGAATATTTAGAGATGTTCAATATTTAACTAATGAAATTAATAGAAATCTTGAATGTTCCAATAAATCATAGATATCTCTAGGTGTCTTAAACAAAGCATTTGGTTTATTTTGTACCTAAAATAATACTATGTTTCTAATTAGAAAATATAGTATTATTCATCATGTATGAATCTATTAATAAATTAAGTTTTTCAAAAAGGATTCAG